CAAAAAAAAAAAAAAAAAAAAAAGATAAAAAGATACATATTTTGGGATCATCACCATAGACAATATTTAAATCCATCAACCTGGATTAGCTCTCTCTACTCTCCTACAAGACAAAATTCAAATCCGTATCCTGCCATTGATGATCCTCTATCACTTGGTTTTAACAAACCTGGCACCTCCCTTCCTCTACATACACTTCTTCCTGTGGTTCCAGTCACCTCTAATGCCCCTGCCCTGTCCACTATCCAAATCAGTTAAGTTCTCACTTAACATCGTCGTAGGTTCTTGGAAACTGCAACTTCAAGGGAAATGACATCTAATGAAATCAACTTTACCACGGGCTAATTGATATAAATAAAAGTTAAGTTCTATGGCATATTGCTGGTCAAAAAAATCACCCAAGTTGTAAGTAAAGACCCAAAACACTTCCAATATTAAACAGTGAAATAAAAGTGAGTCACTCATAAATTTAAGAAAGATTAACAAGAATAAGTAAAATAATTATTTACCCAATCTGGTGAATCAGTGAATGACAGCATTCATAGTGGGAAGGGGTTAAACCCAGGAATATATTTGCAACAAAAATTATAAGGAGCACCTCCAACCACCATGCAGTTCAAAAGCAGATAATAAACATGGTGGGCTTGCTGAACAGTTTCATACTGCATCACTTATCACTGGCCATATGTATGACTATCATATACTTTATGCATGTTTACTTAATAACCTGTATTTGTTCATTCAATCATTTTCCAACCTGTTTATTCTAGTTTAGGATCTGGGGTGACTGGACACTATCCCAGCAGCTCAGGGTACAAGGCGGGAACCAACCTGGACAGGACACCATTCCACTGCAGGGAACTCACACACACTCCCACTCAGACTGAGACCATTTAGACATGTCAGTGAACCCACATGCACATGTTTGGGATGTGGGAAGAAAGGGCACTCCCAGGAGAAAACCTATGCAGACATGGGGAGAATGTGACTCAGTTTTTTTCTTCATCAATGTTACAATGAAATGATATTCTCTTTAAGGCTCATATTAGAACACTCGCCATCAAAATTTTCCTTGCACTACACCAATATGAAGTAGTCTCCACATTTTCTGGATTTTCATAGTAATTATTTTCTATACATCTAATTTAGAAAAGATAGAAATTATATTTTGCTATATGCCTTCTCTTCTTTCAGTGTCTTAAATCTTATTTTTCACACATTTGTTCCTTGATTCTCTAATTAAATGCTTCTGTAACAAGACAAATTGCCTCTTATCTTTCTTTATATTTCCTATAGAATCTTAGAATAATGCCACACATATAGTGGGCATTCACTGAGTACTTATGATTTGACATTATTTATTTATTTATTTATTTATTTTTTGAGTTGGAGTCTCACTCTGTCACTCAGACTCTGGAGTGTAGTAGCCGCTCCTGGCCACTGCAGCCTTGATGCCTCAACCTTCCAAGTAGCTGGAACTACAGGCGCGTGCTACCCCACCTGGCTAGTTTTTGATTTATTGTAGAGATGAGGTCTTGCCAAGTTGCCCAGGCGGGTCTTGAACCCACGGGCTCAGGCAATTCACTCACCTCGGCCTCCCAAAGCGCGGGATTACAGGCTGAGCTACAAAGCCCGGCTGATTTGACATATTTTAAAAGGCAATGAGGTTGTTAAGACTTTTAGGAATATTTTCAACAAACGCACAACTCTTAAAGAGGTAGATTTCAATCCTTTGGGAAAATCACTAGTTTAAAAACTGTTCCTTCTCCAACATGACTGATAAATAAAGCATTAACCGTACTTAAAACTGACAATTTACTTCACAGTGAACTTACCTATATCAATATCAGTAAACCCTTCTGCACTTATTGCATCCATTGTGCTTTTGTCTATTGTATCTAGACAAAGACTAGCAAGCTGAGGTTCATCAAATAATCGAGCCTAAACACATAAACAGATAGTTATTTTACCTTCAGGCTGTACATATCAAAGTTGATACTGTAAACATATTATAATTGCTAATTATGTAAAAATATCTACCTAAAATACAGACTATAATGTTTACATATTCTTAAAACTTTTCATCTACAATCAGAAATAAAAAGCTGCTAACAAAATCACATTACCAATAACAATTGGTCTTTTTATTTTCATAGACTTGAGTGTGTGTGTATAGTCTGTTTTCTTTTTCTTTTTTTTTATTTTAAAGATGTAGGGTACAATTAGGGTTAGGTACACAAGTGGTCATTGTGTAGGTAAAGTTTGGGCCTCACTTTGGTTGCCACTTCACCTGGTTTGAGATTAAGTGCCTATTTTCTTATACATTTCTTATTCTGATCTTTAACAAATCCTCCAGGTTGGATAAGGCAAACATTATTATCCCATTTCCCAGATGCAGAAATAGAGGTTCAGAGAGGTATACTGACTTGCCTAAGTTTATCTAGCTAGGTATGTTGCAAAGCTAGTGCTTAAATCCTAGTGTTATGATCTTTTCACTAAACTATAGTATCAATTGTCAAGTACACCAGTACAAACAAATCTGATTTTTTTTTTTTTTTTGCCATTGCCTGTTTTGACTCGGGAGAGAATGCAGTACAATAATTTTAGAGCATTAGCGCTCTGGGAAACTAAGCAAAAATTAGGTCTAACAAGAGAACAACTAAATTCACACAATAAGAAACACATGAGAAGGAAGAAACTACAACTACACACAACACTATGGATGAATCACATATACCTAATGATGAATCAAAGAGGCCAGAATATATAATGATCAAGAATACATACTGTATAATGCTAGCACAGCTAATTTTCACTTTAAAAAGTCAAAAGTCAAGCTTTACAATATGTTACTTACCAATACACATATCGTAATTAAAAAAAAGAAGTTTAAAAACAGGGGGATGTCAAGTGAAGTGGTTCACACCTGGAATCCCAACAACTTAGGGGGCTGAGGCAGTCAGACTGTTTGAAGCCAGGAGTTTGAGATTAGCCTGGCCAACAGAGTGAAACCTTGTCCCTAAAAAAAAAAAAAAAAGAAAAAAATTAGCCAGGCATGCTCTTGTATGCCTGTAGTTCCAGCAAATCAGGAGGCTGAGGTGGGAGGATCACTTGAGCCCAGGAGTTTGAGGTTGCAGTGAGCCATTATCATAACACTGCACTCCAGCCTGGGCAACAGAGCAAGACCCCAATTCTAAAAATAATAATGATAAAATAAAAACAGGAGGAGTACAAGTCAAACTCAAATGAGATTTTTTTAAAAAACACTGAAAAAGAAGGTATAGTGAAAGGCAATGATCAACCTTTCATTCTGGCCTAGGGTTAGCTTTGTTTACATTTAACAGAATGAACAAACACTAAACACACAAAGGTATTTATGTTGGGTCAGGCAGAAACCTGCTGAGAATGCTGCCAATTAATTAACCATACCACAAATGCTATCCATTATCTGGCATGACTAATGATATTTCCTTGTATTTTTTTCTTTTTTGAATCAAGGTCTCACTTTTGCTACCAAGACTGGTGCGCAGTGACACAGACATGGCTCATTGTAGCCTCAAACTCCTGGGCTCAAGCAATCCTCCCTCCTAAGCCTCCCAAGTAGCTGGGGCTATAAGCATGCTCTACTATGCCCAGCTAATTTTTCTATTTTTTTGTAGAGACAAGGTCTTCCTATGTTGTCCAGGTTGGTATGGAACTCCTGGGCTCAAGTGATTCTTGTGCCTCAGGCCTCTCCCCACACAGTGCTGGGATTACAGGCACAAACTACCACCCGTAGCTAATTTAATTTTTTGTATATATCTTGTTATGTTGTCCCGGCTGATCTCGAACTCGTAGCCACAAGCGGTCCTCTAGCCCTGGCCTACCAAAGTGCTGAGATTACAGGAGTGAGCCACTATGCTCCGCCCCAATAAATTTTTTTTTCATATTTTTCTTTCTACTACAGGATCCAGTCTAGGATCACAATTTATGCATTTTTAAAGTATAAAACAGTGCATTTTTGTAAAGTGAAATTCTAATGAGAGTAGATCTTTTTGTTGGCCAGTTCAACTATATTTTTAGTTGGTGTTCATATAAAAATCAATCTTTCACTCTAGGAAAAACAATTTTTTGTAAACATTATTTTATTCAGGATAGCAACTGTCAGTCACTCCTTTAGATTACACAGGCAGTTATCAAGTTTCCTACTGCTGCTACTTAGGGTAAAATAAATTTTCTCAAAATGAACTTTGACTCTGGCATTATCTCTGATAACACTTAATAAAAAGTATTTTTCTGTCTACACATCATGCTGGTACAGTATACTGGCAATTTTGTCTTAGAGTGAAGCTGGCACAGGCCCTCTCAAATAAATTAACATGCTCAGTTCAAATGACTCACTTGGCAGGAACAAGACGATCACATGATAATTAGTGGGCTAATTCACATGACTCCACCAGTAAAAAATTTCATCTAACACTGGGTTCTCAGATGCACAAGACACTGAAAAGTTTCTTTTTTTCCTCACAGTGACATCTGTTAACCCTTGCTACTCAAAATGTCATCTAGAAACATTGTTATCATCTAAAAGTCTATTAGAAATGCAGACTCTTAGGCCTCACACCAGGCCAAATGAACCAGAATCTGCACTTTTATTTTAAAGTTTTTATTTTGAGATCATTGTAGATTTATAAGCAGTTATAGGAAAGAAAACTAAGAATTCCTGTATACCCTTCCTTTACCTAGTTTCCCCCAGTTGTAGCATCTTGCAAAAGTTGCTGTGCAAAGCTATAGTTGAAGCTCAACCAGGATACTGACATTGACACCGATCTTATTCAGATATTCAGATTTCCCTGGTTTACCTACACTCATCTGTGTATGTATTTAGTACTACGTAATTCTACATGTGTATAGGTTTGGATATTTACCACCACAGTGAAGATACAGAATAGTTCCATGACCACAAAGATCTCTACTATACTGCTCAAATCAAAAGAACATTTCTCATTGAATGGGGTACAGGGAATATTTGTAATTGAGAAATTATTTTTAAAAACTGAGAAAAAAACACCACATCCTGACTTTATACAGTGCAGAATATCTGCATTTTAATTGCCAAAGTGTAGTCTATTGGTTTCTGAATTTTACAATTCAATTTACTGAACTTTTAAAATACAATTACAAAATTACAATTCAATTTTACTGAACTTTTAAAATAAAAGTAAAGTGATCCTCTCTACACACGTTAAAACTCCTTGGACAATACAGAATCTTATGAATATCAACTTACTTATTAGATTTTTATCACAAAATCAAAATATAGAGAAAAAGGCAGGGAAATACCACTTCTTAGTTGTATCACTTTGGTCAAGTTTTTCACCTCTCTGTGCCTCGATTTCTTTATAAAATGGTGATAATAAGAAAACCTTTACTTTGAACATCTACACCTCATAAAATTAATTGTAAGGATTAAATGAATTAATGTACACAAAGTGCCTGAAAGGTGCCTGGCATACAATCTTCAACAAATACATTTTGCTACTATTATAATCAATATCACCAAATGTTAAGAAATGTTGGTTTAAAGGTTGAGACCTTAATTTTACCACTGCTGTCTAATGTTCAATAAGATATTTACTTCTGTAAGCTTTCATTTTTCATCTTTAAAAAGGGGATAATAACATAAATGATATCAGAGTCATGAGGAGTAAATAGGATAATATACGTGAAGAGGCTAGCCTGGTGTCTGGCATACATGGAGCTCTGTAACTGTGTTCAAGAAGAGGTGGCATCAGAATGTTCCTTCTTCTGTAACTACAAATACTTAATGACAGAAGATTTTTAAAAAAAAAGATACCAAACATTTTCTATGCAACAGAATAAGCACAACTGGAAAACATGAGCTCTGGGTCCTGAGCCCTCCTAGCCCGTTGTGAGACTTTGGACAGGCAGTTAATTAGTCTAGGTTTTAAATTTCCCATTTGTAAAATGGTAAAATGAAAGGGTTGAGCTAGGAGTCAAAAGTGATTATTTCCAGTACCACTGTTAAATAGGATTTTTTTTTCAACAAAGCACCAGGAAAGTTTATATTTTATCAACTTAGAATTTTAACAATGATTTGCAAAAGAGTATTATTGCATTGTCTAAAAAGAAGAAAATTATTTATATTCTAAGTATGAAGCTCAGATTATAGGCATTTAACAAATACTAAATGATATATGTTAAGGACTGGTTAATGGTTTCATAGTTGTGTTAAGTTAAAAAAATTTATTAGACTGTACATTTACAATATGTGTGCTTTTCTGTATGAATCCTGTACTTAATGAAAACTTTAAAATGTTAGAGAAAGAATATATGATGTAAACCTAAAATTCTAACTCCTGCAGGAGTGGATCAACACATTTTCAGACACAGGTCCAAAGACAGTGGATCTCAGAACTTTGCTGGACTTTAAATATTCAATCTTTATTGCAATCCTGCAAAACTTGAGAATGAAGATATTCACAAAATCTCATGCTATTATACTCTCAATCATAGCAGGAACAACACTGGATCTTAATCCTAACTCCAGTCCTAAATAACTAACTTTGGGGCATAATGCCCACTTATATAAGACTTCTGCTTCTTTACCTATAAGATTCAGTACTGTATTAACTCTAATATGCTTTTCAATTCTAAAATCATATGAATCTGATATATTTCTCTGATGGTATAAAAATAACTATATATACTTTAAAAGATAATAATCTAGAATTAACTCTCCAGGAAATACTAAATATTCATATATAGTTATGCTTACATTCAATTTTTAAGCTATAATGAACATACCTTAGCTACCTAAGTAAGTAACACAAAGGTAGTATTTACTTACCTGAGTAAGTAACATAAAGGCATTATCTGCCCTAAGATGTTTGGTGAGAAATTCCACACAATGTGCTTCCAAGGCTGGGACTGCATACTTCTTGGCAGTGTAAAGAGTGGTCATAACTGTTTCTGGGCCAATTTGAACTTCATCTGAATATAAAAATCTAGAAAGCAATTAGGAAATTTGCAGAGATGATTAGTGATGTTTTAGATTAACAATCCATCAGAGTTAAACCTCTGAAGAATATTATATAACATAATGAACAAACTGGAAAAACAATCTGCAATTTATTTGCAAAACAGACTTAGCAGTTTACAGGGCATCTCTAATTTTATTCCCACTTAATCCTGAGAGGAAGGAAGCCTCTCCATTTCACAGCAAAAACTGAGTTTAAGGGAAGATCATGAGACAAACCCATTATCTCTAAGCCAACTCTTCAGAGTTCTTATTAGCACCCCACACCCATTAGGACAACAGTGTTTTACTATCTCTTCCTGAACAAAAGATGTTCCCTTCAGTAAATCTACAGATAGCTAAGATCACATCTCAAAATGTCAAAATATTCATTTATTTCCTGACAATAGTGCCTTCTTATTCTGGTCAACTTTTAACCTTTCATTGTTATCCAAGAATAAACATAATGACCATGGATCAGAGTACTGGGGTTTTGGAGGAATCAAGCAATTTAATGATATATTAAAGGACTCCATGTTGCTACGTGGAGGCTTATGGCTATTGAGGTCCAATTTTCTCTCAAAATACTATCTATCAGCCCAATATTACTTTCCTCCTAGTACACTGCTTCTAACAGCTAGGTCACTAGATAATCAGCTTCATAGAACTGAGACAAAGTATAAAAGATTCTCAGTGAAGGCCTGGGTAGTTCTTGTTAAACTATACTTGAGCTTTCCTGTATCAACTTTAGGCCCCTTTGGTGGTTTCACAGACCCTTGTGCCCTTACTGCCCAGTTCTCAGCTGTACTTACAATAGCTGAGGCTTCTAGAAAAGAGTGGCATTAAAAACAATTATTTCATTTTAGTAATAAAGACGTTAGAATACTTACATATTTCCAGGACTCAAGTTGTAAATTAAGGGTTTCTGAAAACCCATTATCTTCTTTCAGAACACTCTTACTTCTTACTGAAGTAAAGTTTTATTTCATGTCCCTGACCTCTACCTTTCAACTTCTTCCCTTTATTCCAAGATGAAACCATAGCCTGCCTGTTACTTCAACTCCCTACTGTAACCAAATACTGGCACTCCTCTGATAATTTCATTATCCTTACAACTATCTGAAGTGAGGGTACACTCCCCTATATCGCAGGTTAAAAAGCTAGGGTTGCTGTTTTTCAGGATGACATCATTCTTATTATTATCATTATTTTTTTAAACAAAAACTCCTTTTAGAGACTCAAGTCAGCTAACTGTATCACCCTCACAATGCTCACCTAACATTACATGTACATTTTGAGGAATTAAAAACTAAGTAAGGCCAAGTTCCTCATGGTAAGATGGAGAGGAATGAATAAAAAGAGAAAAAGTTAACAGTTGTTCAGTGCCTACTATACGGCAAATGCCAAATTATTTATTCCTCCCACACAGAAGGTAGGTGCTATTGCCTGCATTTTAATGAGAAAACCAAGGCTAATTTTTTGGTTTAGGCCTGAAAGCTGTTTACTGTAACACACCATTTCTGGGCTTCTGTTTTCAGTGCCACACTAAATTCAACCAGGAGAGGAAAGGGACTGCTTGGGTTTGAGCCTGTTCTGTTGCTTGCTAGCTACATAACTTTAAGCGAGTTATTATCACTTTGTTTCTCTAAAAAGATGAGCAACAGTACCTACTTCATAAGGTTGCTGTGAGGATTAACCTAAGTTAAAACACAAAGGATTCTGAATAGGACCTGAAAAAAAAAATTAGCCTCTGTATACGTTAGCTATTTATCCGTATACTGTCTCATACTTCTTATTGCTACTTTTTTCTGCACTTTGGAAACTGTCTTCACCATTATCTTCTGGTGCCCTCCTATTTTTCTCCCCAGAAATCATGTTTAAATTTCTAAGAATTTTTGCTTCTTTCTTGAGCATTCCTTTTCTCTCCACAGCTTCATGTCTTGGTGTTATGGATGCAAAAACTTTCCTAAGCCTCCAAAATGATATTAACCAAAGTTAAAGTTAAGAGTCTGTTTCCTGAATGACCTGTTGTTTCCTTGAGAATCAGCTGTTCTGTGTATCCTGGTCTTTGTTATTCATGTTCTGATTTTCCTTTTATGTGAAATGTTTTGCCACCAATTTCAATATTCTAGTAGTGAGTTTGTTTTCAAGATAAAACTATCTTTGAAATGGAAAGGCTGGCTGGGAGCTCTGTGTATGTGGGAGGCTTGTTGACTGGTATCGTGCATAAGAGCGGGAAACCAGTCTTTAGTTCAAGGACTCCTCAATACCTTTACGAGAACTTAACCCTGGGGTCTCAAAGCCACACCAGCAGCTCCAGTTCTCCCCAGGGAGTCTGTTCAATTTATTTAGAGGAGCCTGTCAGTTGTCATGAGGAGTTAGTCTGCAAAAGTTGCTTGAGGAGATGGTCTTCACATAGGCTTTAAATTAATTTCCATGTTTTAGCACTGCCTTTTCATTTCTGCTCTCCTTACTTCCAGCTCCTAGCCTGGAACCTCTGCTGCAGCCCTGAAAGCTCTGGATTCTGGGCTCCAGATTCATCCTCTCTCATTCATACACCAACCAGCTTTCAACTGTTCTGTTCCTTTTCTACACTGTTGGCCCTGCCAACCCCTCTTTTTCTCTTCATTGTAATGGACTTATTGTCTTTTGTATTTAAATCATTTTAATTGAGAGAGCGAGAGAATGCTAATAATAGCATACTCAATTCCCTTCTTGAACTAGAAACTTACAGTTTTTGTTTAAAGGACAAGGAAGAAGTCTTCACACCTGACTTTTTCTTTCCAGACAAGTATTACTGGAGTCATAAAACACAGGGCAGAAATGCAGGGCGGGGTCTTTATCACCATTTGCCTTTGTATTTGAGTAGATTCAAACTTAAGAGGACAAGTGCCACAAAACTGAAATGTGTGGTCTCATGAGAATCTATAATTCTCCTAATTTAGGGAGATCTGGAAAAGCTTCACAGAGGAATTTCTGCTTGAGACAGATCTAAAAGATGAAAAGATGGTGGGAAGAACATTCCCCGAACAAGTGAGAATGGTGTTTTTAGACTACTTTGTATGAAATCCCCTCCCATTCAAATTGCTTTTATTAAATTATAAGTTGGTAATATACTTTTGGCTTATATCAAGGGACTTTTTAGAGAAATAACAATATAGCTGAACATACAGATTGAAGTCGTTCATTATAGTAGTAGTGCCTTCTTTATGAGGGGATCCCATCTGGATTTTTTTTTTACTAGTCTAATTATTAAAGCTGTGCATCTCCTAAGCAGTCGCCTTGCTTTTAATGTTACAAATATATGAATAGCAACTGACCAACCAGGGTTCTCTTTTTGCATTAATTAAGATAATTAAAATTAAGTTTGTGGCTTACCTATAGTATACATTTTTGTATTAACTTCACTCTTTATTTTCTTACCCTTGTGTTTCTTGTAAGACATTTTCAATTCTTTTTGGAGCCCAGCAAGTTAAAAATAAATACTGGGCAATAAACAATATGAAAAGGATCTCTGTTATTCTTATATTTTTTTCCTACAGCACCAAGAGCAGTGTGGGCACTTAATAAATAATAAATAATGTGGGACTTAATAAATACATGTTAATTAACTAGACAATTCAGTGTAAGTTTTTATGTAACAATGATGAGAAAAATATTTTAATTTCTAATAAGAAAAAAAGTTAGTTAAAGAATCGTCTGGGAGCGGTGGCTCAAGCCTAAAATCCCAGCACTTTGGGAGGCCACGGTGAGAGGACTACCTGAGACCACAGGCTCGAGAACAGCCCAGGCAACTTGGCAAGACCTCCCTCATCTCTACAATAAATTAAAAAATTAGCCAGGTGTGGTAGCACGTGCCTGTAGTTCTGGCTACTTGGAAGGTTGAGGCGGAAGGATCTCCTGAGCCCAGCAGGTCGACACTGGGGTGGTTGTGAGTGTGCATTGCACTCCAGCCTGTGAGTGAAACTCCAACTCAAAAAAAAAAAGAAAAGCAAGAATCCTCTCAGTTCATATTTTACTTATACATTTTCTCTAGATTCTATTTAATCATCAGAGTTTCTATAATATAAAAACAACTAAAATCAAGGTTTTAAAAATATAAAGATGAAACCTGACATTACCACAGTTCTTCGTATTTTAAAATAGTCATTTAAGATCTCACATACAACCCTCTAAGGACAAGAGAAGAGAAAAATAATTATATGTTCTCAAACTAGTCCTATTTTCTCTTCAAAGATTAATAGATTTCCAAAAAGATAAACTTAGAGCCAGGCATGGTGGCTCATGCCTGTAATCCCAGCACTTTGGGAGGCTAAGGCAGGAGGACTGCTGGAGCCTAGAAGTTCAACAGCAGCCTGGGCAATATCACGAGACCCCATCTCTACAGAAATAAATAATTTTTAAAAACTTACATTATATTTAGTTAACTAAAATTTTAAAAAGCCAAAGATGAAAACTTGACTTTATATTAGAATAATCACAAGATCATATATAAGAAACTCTGTATCACTACTGATACATTTATATTAATTTTACTCAAAAATATGTATTGAGGGCCTATTTAATAGACACTGCAATAGGTCTAGAGATACAAATATGGGTAAGATAGCTCTGTCCATAAAAAGCTTATACAATCACATGTCACTTAATTATGGAGATGTGTTCTGAGAAATGCATCCTATTAGGTCAACATTATACAGACATCATAAAGTACACTACACAAACTAAATGGTACAGCCTTCTATGCACCTAGGCTATTGGTATAGCCTATTGCTCCTAGGCTACCAATCCATAGAGCATGTTACTGTGCTGAATACTGTAGGCACTGTAACACAATGGTATTTGTGTGTCTAAACATAGAAAATGCACAGTAAAAATAGTGTTATAATCTAATGGGAGCACCATTTTTTTTTTGAGTTGGAGTCTTTGTCACCCAAGCTAGAGTGCTGTCGCATGATCATGGCTACCACAGCCTCGACCCTCTGGGCT